CGTATTTGAAGACCTTCATCATTTCAACTCTTTGTGTCTCAAAAAGGAAACAAATTATATTTTACCTATAAAAATTGAAAAATGAATGGGAGCCAATGTTTTTTTCTGATCCTAGTCTTAAAAGAATTAACTTCTTCAATACTAACTCACTAAGTGTCTAATAGATCACGAATATGCAAATAATATCTACCTTTAAATTAGCCGCTGCTCACTTCAGAAATGATGAAGATATATCAAAGTTAATCAGTAACATTATTGTCAGTGGTTGAGTATTTGCTTGCAAAGAAAACCCACCATATTTATCATCAACAAAGCTAAGTAGGGTTAGATTGATCACCCAAACGGATCTGTTTTCTCTGTCAACATGGTGCTACGCCTTATCGATTTCAGCAAATTTTTCTTTGCTTGGGAAAGAAACCAGCTAAACTCGCAATCCTGTTTCGCAAAAGAAACATCACTCTATCGACGTCAGCACGTGTTGTGAAATTTGTATATATCTATAATTTGACCACATTAATATGTATCTTTACGTAAAAAAAACAACGAATGCTTCAGGGTAATGATAACCTCCATCAACAGAGACACTGCCTGCTCAGGCCGTTTGCCCAGAAGACTACTTCGATTTTGGTACATATTTCCGCTTTGAACCAAGACGAATTAAAAGGTTATAAACTAAGCTGGACCATGCCATATCTTAAAATATCTAAATTTATGTATTTTCATAGACATTGTGAATTCCTGGAAGAAAAACGATACGAATGGAAAACAAAAAACAACAACAGCATTTCTGTTCGTTTCATACAGAAATCACCCTCTGGTGGTAGTGGTGCTCGAGCACTACAGTCTGGTGTGAAGTTTTGGGTTTACTTTATGACTGATATATGCAGTAAATACTATGGCAATACCAAATTAGTTATTACACTTAGGTGTAATACAATATGTATTATTGTATTACAATACACAACATTTGATGTCAAATATTAGTATATCTCGTTGCATGTGTGAACATCAGCCATGGACGCAATAAAATGTTTTCACAGTAATTTGTTATTACACTCCGATGTAATACAATAAGTATTATTGTATTGCAATATACAATATTTGATGTCAAATATTAGTATCTCTCATTGCATGTGTGTACATCAGCCATAGACGCAATAAAATGTTTTCACAGTAATTTGTTATTACATTCAGGTGTAATGCAATCTGTATTATTGCATTGCAATACAAAACATTTGATGTCAAATATTAGTGTCTCTCGTTGCATGTGTGTACATCAGCCATGGACGCAATAAAATGTTTTCACAGTAATTGCAATTGAACTCAGACTGACACTATTACTAAAGTTATTACTCCAATGGAATAAAACGTGTTAAAACTTAAATACGTATATATTGGTATACTTGGAAAGACAGGCTTTTTAAAATTACTATCTAATAAGCTCGTTACTTTACAATGATTAACCTAATGTACTTTTTAAGGAGCAAAAAGCTCATCGAGTAAAATGATTTGAAGTTAACGAAATTTTGATATAAAAATATATCAAACATTTTATATAGATTTCTTAAGAAGCCACGTTTCTTTAACTTTGGTACATTTGGTCTCGTATAGAAGAGTTTGGGTACTAATTGCTTTCGTTGTTCCTTGAAACGGCTACATCCGAGGAGATAAAATTCATCACCCACAGTTTTGCAATCAACGTACACAATATTTCATATCAAGTCAAAATTTTCACATCTTCCTTTCTCTATCAGTAAACAGTGATTACGTGTTCGAAATTTTATTATGTTTGCCTTTTACTTTTTATAGGTCTTTTATTAAATAATTATATATTTTTATCTCCGTTTTAAAAGGTCTATATCTTAGTTATTCTCAAAGATAATTAATTTACAACTATCACCTTCCTTGCTGAGTTATTCTTTCAAATATATCCCCGTCGTTGATGCAGCAACGTTTTATTTTTCTCTGAAATATAAATATTCCACAAAATGTGTGTGTGTGTGTGTGTGTGTGTGTGTGTGTGTGTGTGTGTACATTACTCTAGTCAAGCTTGACATCGAATGAAAAACTGGGATGAATATTTCGAGAAATTATCCTTAGGCATCCATTTCTCTCCACTTAAGTACAGCTACCCAACCCAATGTCAACTTTTCTTAGAGTACGCCTTTCAGAGTTTCAAAATGAATTACCCAAAACATAAATCAAACCAGTTTAAGAAGACATTTATCTCTATATGTCTTGCAGTCTACTGTCCTCTTGTATAGAGGATTATAATTCACACTACGAGTGCATTGAATACGGGTAGGTTCTCTTAAGGTAGCAGCTACCTAGTACCAGCGGCCATTAATCATCACGTAGGACCGCTTGACACATCAACCGTGTGGGCGGTTCACAGCACATTATCAATTAATACTCGACTATTTTAAATACCGTTTAGGGATGATTATTCCTTTATACTAACTGAACCAGTATGTTGAAGAAAACCATGTAGCTCGGTATAAATGCTTCTCTCCCATTACAGTTTATATCCACTTTGTACTGATTTTTCATGCATCGCAGCTGAGAAAGGAAGTCAAA